CTGCACCTGGGGGTGCTGAGGCGTCTGGTGAGCAGTCTCCCTGGAGCGGCCGTCTTCGTAGTCGCTCCGCTGGTGCCTCGCCGCTGCCCTCTCGTCGTCGACTCCCCCTCTCCTCACTGCAGCTGGTTGAGTGGTACCTTGGTCGCCAGGGTCGCGCTACTGGAGCTGGTGACTCTGCTCCTGGAGCTGTTTCTGCTGGAGGCTCTCCGGCTGCTGAGGGTGCGGGCGCTGGAGGTTCTGGAGCTGCTGGAGGTCCTGGTGCTGGTGGCGCTGGAGCTGGGGGTTCTGGAGCTGCTGAGGGTGCTGGCGCTGGAGGTTCTGGAGCTGCTGGAGGTGCTGGCGCTGAGGGTGCTGGCACTGGAGGTTCTGGAGCTGTTGGGGTTGCTGGCGCTGAGGGTTCTGAGTCTGCTGTTGCGCGGTCTCCTTGGAGTAGCCGCCTTCGTCCACGTGTGCCTCTCACCTCACAGCAGTTGCACGACTGGTACGGTCGCCGTCAGGGTCGCGCTTCTGGAGCTAGGGGCTCTGCTACTGGAGGTACTTCTGCTGACGTCACTGGAGCTGGGAGTGGTGCTGGTCCCAGAGGTGCTCTTACTGGAGGTACTGGAGCTCCTGGGACTGGAGGTGCTGCGTCTGGGGGTGCTGCTGCTGAAGACACTGAGGCTGGAGACCCTGGGACTGGAGGTGTCGGTTCTGGGGGTGCTGCTGCTGGAAACACTGCGGCTGGAGACCCTAGGACTGGAGGTGCTGGTTCTGGGGGTGCTGCTGCTGGTGGTGCTGGCGGTAGAGGTTCTGGAGCTGCTGGAGGTGCTGGAGCCACTGGAGCTGCTGGAGCTGCTGGTGCTGGTGCAGCTGCGCCGACTCGACTGTTCTTCGCTCCGCCGTCTCCGTCGTCTCTGCCGCCGCCTGACTCTGTTCTTCGTCAGGTTCTTACCCTTCCGTCCTCTACTGGTCTTCCGTGTCCTGCCCGGCTCACCGCTCCTTGCTCCTCCTCCTCACACTGAGCAGCCCGGTGGTCTTGCTGAGCGTCGTGAGCCTGCGTCGCGTCCTGTCTCGCCTGTTCGTCCTGGTCGTTCCGGTCGTCGTGTTCCTCGTTCGCGTCAGCCGGCTGTCCCCGGTACACACCTCGTAGTCCGTCGTCTTTCCTCTGCTCCGCAGCCTGTTCCTCTGCCGTCTCCCCCGGCGTCCTCTCTGCCTGACGTTGCTGACCCTGAGTCTGACCGCTTTCGTGCTGCACACCCTACTGTCACGCGTCTGTTAGCCACTGTTGTCACTGACCCGTCGTTTGAGTCTACTACTGCGTCTGCCTTGGTCGCTGAGCTTGTTGACTTTGCTGCTGCCTGTCGTCTAGACTACGCTGCTAGTCTTGTTGCTGAGTCTGAGTCTGTCTGTCCTCCGTCCGTCGGGGGTGAGTGTGCTCTTGGCACGGACGTCCTTGAGGACAGGCACGAGGACCGTGCGTGTCTTGCAGCCGCTGCGCCTCATCTCGTGGCCATGCTGCTTGCCCCTGAGGGAGACCCGGATGCACCAGACATCCCGACCCCGCGCTCTTACGCTGAGGTGATTGCGGGTGAGTACCATGGACGCAGAGATGGCTTCCTGGAAGTCCACAGGCACTTACGTCGATGAGGTTCCCCCTCCTGGGGCGAACATCGTCGATGGCATGTGGATTTTCAGGGTGAAGCGGCCGCCGGGTTCTCCGCCTGTCTTCAAGGCTCGTTACGTTGCTAGGGGCTTCACTCAGCGTGAGGGGGTTGACTTCTTCCAGACCTTCTCCCCTACCCCGAAGATGACCACTCTTCGGGTGCTGCTGCACGTTGCCGCTCAGCGTGACTACGAGCTTCACTCTCTTGACTTCAGCACAGCCTTCTTACAGGGCAGCCTGCATGAGGAGATCTGGCTGCGCCGCCCACCTGGCTTCACTGGGTCGTTCCCTCCTGGTACCCAGTGGAGCCTCCGACGGCCAGTCTACGGTCTCCGCCAGGCGCCTCGTGGGTGGCACGACACACTGAGGACTACACTTGCGGCTCTTGGGTTTGCTCCTTCGACTGCTGACCCGTCGCTGTTCCTGCGCACCGACACTTCGCTGCCGCCGTTCTACATCCTCGTGTACGTCGACGACTTGGTCTTTGCCACTGCTGACACTGAGGCTCTCGCTCAGGTGAAGTCGGAGCTGCAGAAGAGACACACGTGCACAGACATGGGTGAGTTGCGCAGCTATCTTGGCTTGCAGATCACTCGGGACAGAGCACGCCGCACCATCACCCTGACTCAGTCACACATGGTGCAGCAGGTCCTTCAGCGCTTCGGCTTCTCCTGGTCCTCCCCACAGGCCACTCCTCTGGCTACAGATCACTCGCTCTCAGCTCCACCTTCGGACGAGTCCGTAGAGCCGAGTGGTCCTTACCCAGAGCTAGTTGGTTGCCTCATGTACCTGATGACCTGCACTTGACCTGACCTTGCGTACCCTCTTGGCCTTTTGGCGCGTTACGTGGCTCCTGGCAGGCACCGAAAGGTGCACATGGATGCTGCCAAGAGGGTGTTGCGCTACCTGTGCAGTACATCAGGCATGGGGCTCGTGCTTGGAGGACGGACCAAGGTGGTCCTCACTGGGCACTCAGACGCGTCTTGGGTTGACGACCAGGCTACGCAGCGGTCGTCACAGGGTTACACCTTCAGCCTCGGCTCTGGCTCTGTTTCTTGGCGGTCTACACGCTCGTCTTCTGTTCTCAGCTCCAGTTGTGAGGCTGAGATCTACGCCACCGCCATGGCTGCACAGGAGTTACGCTGGCTCACCTACCTGCTGACTGACTTGGGTGAGCAGCCTCGTTCTCCTCCAGTTCTGTACGTTGACAACAAGGCGGCCATTGCCTTGTGTGAGGAGCACAGACTGGAGCACAGAACGAAGCACATCGCTCTGCGTTACTTCCTGGCTCGAGAGTTGCAGCAGCGAGGTCAGCTTCGTCTTCGTCACGTGGCCACTCGGGCCAACACTGCTGATATATTCACCAAGGCACTTCCGTCTGGTGATCATCAGCGCTTTTGTACTCTGTTAGGCCTTGTGCCTACGTTTCCACACTTGCTGTAGACTTTGCGTGTACTGTGATCTCTATATATATATGCCTGCATGCTTGCTCCTGTTAAGTAGTGATCACTGTACTGTTATTGCTGCATATATATCTCTGCATGTGAACTGGCCTTGTGGCCCTTTGCTTGTGCTCAGAGTGTGTGGTGACGTTGTGATCCACCCTGAGCTTGCTTTGCATCTCTTGACTGGTCTTGTGACCCTCTGTTCTCCCCCACTTTGCCTATGGGGGTGTGTCAAACTGTATGCTGCTTATTGGGTAGCCCATATAGGGTACAACCCAAATTAGGGTTTCATACTTGTACCCATCCTGCTGCTAGTTTCATCATTCCTGTCACTAGTTTCTGACATAAGTCGCACGCGTGATTGCTCGATTCTACTCATTGGGACGCGGTTGCCGCGCGAGGTGAGCACGCCCAAAGGTCCCGACCCCACTGGGTCCACGTATCACGGGAGAGTAGATTGAGAGGCGTGGTTCTAGTGAGGTATGCCATGCGCCAGGAGATGCAACGTGTGATGAGTAGGGATGCTATTTGTGGGTCGGCTCGCTCGAGAAGTGGAGGTGGTTTCGCCATATCCTCCAGTTGACCCGCCAAGAACTTGGCAGCACCATCAGCGAAGTTGGCATCCAGATGCAGCTGCAACAGGTTACCGTAGGTCAACTTCACCAATGATAGTAATGGCGATTGGCTGGGCTCTTGTAACGCTGTAGTGATAGCTTGTCACAAGATGCTGTTGAAAGCATTCACAATACCAAGCTATTTGGGTGTGCGTCCAAAAATGCCCGGGGTGCGTGGATAACTGCCTCCGCTCCACTTGGCACCGCCACACCGTACTGTAGAGGTAGGAAGTACTCGCGGGCAGCATTGCTCATAACCGAAAGCGCTGCTTTGGCAGTCAGCCACGTCAGGCATTCGCCAATTGCAATTGGCCAAGCCTCTCCCCCTGGCTTGGCCAAAGCTACGAGGTGTGATGCTATCAGTAGGTCTGCCACCGAGCCTGGCAGGTCTCCCCCCAATATGGTGTTTACTAGGGCGTGCCGATGGGTGCTAATCGACGCGTTGGTTACCGCCGCATCGCGCAGATGCTCAAATGTCGTGCTAGACGGTCCGACCCCCACGCCGTTCTCACATCTTCCCAGAAGCTTGGCGAATTCGGTGTGGGTGATGCTTTATTTTCGAAAATGCGACGCCTGCCAAGTCAGCGACGCCTCCCCTGCAGGTGTTTCAGGCGAAGTTCGTCCGGGATTTCTGGACTGGGTGTGCAGACGAGCGTTGACTCGAGCGCCAGCACGGCTCTGCGCATGCTGCCGCGTTTCGCCAAACCCTCGGCCCGGCTTATCACTCCTGTCGCATCGGGTTGATGTCGTGGTGGTGGAGGGGACTTGACCACATTTACTACGTCTTCGTATAGCTGTTCCCATTCGCCATGCTGGAACGCCCGAAGCTGAGCCTTGATTTGTGGCCAGTTTAGGCGCTTTGGCAAGGATTGGCGAAGAGCTAGTCGCGGGAGAAAAAGCAGCAGGCGCCATCGAGCTTCAGATTCTGGGTTTCGTGATAGGTGGAGGAGTGGGGTCAGAATTGCCAACAAAAACAACTGGCACAGGTTTGGCGATAATCGGCATGATAGAGGCAGTTGTCGACTATTGCGCAGTGCAGAAATGTCTCAGTTCGCGATGTCGATCTACTGCTCCTTGCGCCTTCTTCTCAGACACTCGCCACCACCCGTCTGCACCTGCTGCTTGGATGGGCGGAGAGTGGGAGGAAGCAGGAACGGCCGTCACCAAGAGCAGTGGGTGCGCAGACTGCAAGACTGTTTCGACAAGAATTTTAAGAGACTACATGCGCAGAAAGGACTCCATGCGCATTGGCACTGACCCCGTGTCTCACACGTCCTCCCCTCCAGCTGCTGTCACACATCACTGCACGCCAACGCCTACCTGCTCGAGCCCCATGGACGGCGGCCTGAGCGGTGCTCCCCTCCCCGCCACCGCGCCCTTGCTGGACGCCTGCCGCCGTGTGCGCTGCTGCTGCTGCTGCTGCGTGGCGAGGTGCATGCGGTGCAGAGTGGCGAAGGTGGTTATGCTGCGGTACAGTCCTGTGGTACGGTCTAGTGAGCACAGAGGGGAGGGGAGGGGAGACGGAGGGAGAGGAGGGGAGGGGGGGAGGTGAGGGAAGGAGTGGCATGGGGAAGGATTTCTGTGTGTGACGAACGCGAGAGAGGAGCAAAGAGAGAGAGGGAAGGGGGTGCTGGGAGAGAGAAGATGGCGCAGAGGAGAGAGAGGAGAGGAAAGGGGACCTTGGAGGCGACGAGCGTGGTGCGCAGGGTGCAGGAGCAGAGGGCGCGGTGGAGCGCGAAGAGCAGCAGGTGGCTGGCGTAGAGCGCGCTGTCCGCTTCCCCCGCCAGCTGCGGGTGCCGCCGCTCAAACGCGCGCTTCAGCGACGCCGGCTTCTTGTTGAGCATGCTGTTGGCACGGGGTGACACGCGGGTGAGGCGTTAGTGGAATGTGAGTAACAAACAAAATCATACCCACGCCTGCACCATCGACGGTCACAGAGCATTCTTCCCCCTCCTCTTCCCCCTTGTCTCGAGCCGCCAATTTTTCATGCGTATCGCACATGCGACTCGGCCCACGTACTCACGCATGTGTAATGTCATTCACGTTGCACGTATGCATTACTCTCCTTCACAAATGAGACCGTTTTGAACGTGCTCACGTCTCATGTGCCACCATTTCGTCTTCGAGCTCGTCTCTCACGCGAGACATCGTCCAAGGCAGGACCTCTGACGTCCTGGACATCGTGCCATCTCCTCTCACGACGACCCGAGAAGTCAGCAGGCTTTACACTTTGCCGAATCATGCTAGACCAGTTTTCTCCATCGTCTCGCTTGGAACTCTTCACTGGCAGGTGATGAACAGATTCTTTGAGTTCGTCCACGTGTGACATCGGCCAAGTCAGGACCTCTAATGTCCTGAACTTGTCATCATTTGCAGATTTTCTTAACAGGCTTCGCACTTTCCCAAACCAGCTTTGAACCAGCTTTCTCCAATGTCATATTTGGACCTCCCACAGAAGCTACCAATTCAAAATGCACCGAGTATATAACCCATGGTTACATGGAATCAACCAACCTAGATTCAGACATGTCATGAAACTGAATCATTCTTGCATGCTTTATCTGTGCATCCCATCATATGCATCTCGTAGAGACTGCTTTATCCTTCAGTTGTCAATGTGGCCTTGCCCTATTCTAGTTCATTAGGCTATACAATACTATTGTAGTATTTGTCCATTAGGCTAGCGAACTTGTCCCCCATCCCGGCCATCTCCTCTGGCAAAAACTAGCGGGGAGGTTGAGGGGTGTGGCATGCCGTGGTCTGGGATGTAAAGCTTCCTCTGCTGCCCACCCCGACGGCTTTCGGGCCCTCGTGTCCCATCTCTGTAGTACTGGATCCGTGACTGTTATGTCGGTCACCCACGTTTCCCCCGACTCCTGGTCCCCGCACTTACGGAGGACCGGGGGGGAGAAAGCCGTAGTTTCGTGAAAAATCTTGTATCCCGCGTTGTCTCTGGCCATCCTGACAGCCACCAGGGCGTTGCGGGTCCATACGGCGTCCCCATCATCCCCACACCGCAGGAGATGGTTTGGAAGGCTTTTGTCATTAATGCTCGTGTTATCCCGCTTACAAGGGCACACCTCAGCGACCGGCAGCTCCATCCCTAGCCGTAGGCTAAGAGCCATCAAGAACTGACCAGGGGAGAGAGTAAGGTCACCTCTCGTTGGAATGGCATGGAGCCAGTCACCGGCACCGACCCCCTTAAGGCTGATGACGCGGATAGCGTGGCCCTTGTCCTCCCTCAGCCGGTCCTGGAGCGTGTCCGCGAGAAGTTAAACTGCCCGCCGCTGGTTAATGGCTTTAGACAGCCCCAGCTGCAGATTTTCCGAGCCTAGATTTCCCGGCCTGTACTGCTTCAGGGTGGCTCGGGCCTCAGCGGGGAGGTTGCCCTCCATAGTGGCTTTGGGGTTGGTCTCTGGCAGCCAAGGCTTCCACTCGTGGGAGAGGAGCAGTGCCGCTCTGCTCAGGAGGCTGTCCGTCGGCAGGTTCGAATGTGTCAGGAGGGCATGTGCCGCTGTGACTGGAGTGAGGTAGGCCACGGGTGCTCCAGAGATGGGTTCGATCACTCCTAGGCCCCCCATACCGATGCGGAGCGTTCCTTGTCGCCACGGCAGGCTCTGTTCAAGCTCGGAGGTCGGGATCCGCAGCTTCACGGCGGTGAGACCCAAGCCGAGCAGAGCCGCACTCCACTCTCTCCAGTCCCGCGCGCTTAGTGTTGACCCAGGTGTCGTCCGCAGTGGGTATGAGATCCGCCGGGAGATGCTGCGTGAAACCATGAGGAGTGCATGTTGCGGGTTCAGCTGCGAGATGAGGAGGAGTGGTGAAGCTGTCTCAACCAGCACTGACCTAACTTGGTCAGTGCAGAAGTCATCACTCCCGACTGGGCTGCCCAGCACTTTAATTCCTCTCTGGTCCATGGTCACTCGGAGTGGTAGCCCCTCCCCTGTGTATCCACGTTCCTTCCCCAGACCGACCATTTGGCCACGTTACAGTGGAGACCACCTGCCTCTAATGCTTTGGCGATCGTGCTAAAAGCGACGCAGGCGGCTTCGTGCGGGCCGACGCTTGTGATATCGTCCGCGTAGTCGACAACCGCAACCTCCGGTAGAGATGCGGAAACACTCAGCAGGGCTGGCTCCATCGCGGTCGTGAACAAAAGCAGATTTAGAGGGTCGCCTTGGCGGACCCCGCAGGAGCTCAGAGTGTAGTCGGTGCCAAACCGCTGGTCCACCAAGAGCCGTGACGGGCTGTCGTAGAGCTTCCGGACTAGAGGGAGGAGGGGACTGAGGTTAGACCACTGAAGCGCCTCAAAGAATGCCTTGCGCTCAACGCTATTGAACGCGTTTTCCATGTCTAGCTGCGCAATCCGTGAGTCGTCTTCCTAAAGTAGCGCCCCGACAAAGTGTATGATGCACTCTGCTCCTCCCGGAACAGACACACTGAGTTGGATTGGAACGAAGAACTCGCGGACTTTGGGGCCGAGCGAGTGGAGGGCTGCTTTTGCTGCTACACAGAATAAGGTCTCACAGATCGCGATAGGTCTGACTCCTCCCCCTGGTTTTTCTAGGGCTATCAATCACGAGGGTAGGATAAGATCGCGTAATTCCTTGCTCTGGAAGGTGTTGAGGAGACTGTTGACACCGTTGGCTATTAGAATTTCCATCTCCTCGTTGGCGAGGGCTGGATCTCTCATGTTCTTGAAACACATTCCTGAAGGCCCACTGCCCACTCCGTTTGGGCATTTCGCCAGAATTTTGCGAAGAGCATCGATCGGGACGGCGAGCTCAGATGTTGCGATCCCGGTTACCCAGGCTGGCATACCAATTCCAGTCGGTGGGTGTTTTGCCTGGAGAGCAGCGAGGGTTGCCGAAGAAGGTACTACGAGAGGTTTGGTGCGTAACGCTTTAACCGCCTTCGAGTTATTGCCTTTCTTCATTAAACCTTCCGCATGTGCACAGACCCCTTCGTCATCCGGCTGGTTTCTTAACGGGGTCTCATTGACGAGAAAAGGTCCTCCCATTTCCCCTGCTGAAATTGATGCAACCGAGGCTCAATCCGAGCCCAGCGACTCCTAGCAACTGTTTCGGGCGAAGGTCGAAGTGTTCGCCTCGGCAGGAACAATAGAATCTTCCAAGCACCTGGACAAGTGGGGAGCTTCTCCAACTTCAGGGGTGGTACCACTCGTGCTGGGGAAGCAGACAGAGGTAATATCAGTCCAGGATTTGTGGAGGCATGCGATGAACCAGGAAAGACTGGTCCCCACGCTGCAGCTGACTCACATCCCAACCCCCAGTCACTTGCGAGATGGCGTCCTCCTTTGCCAGATCAGCCGGTGAGAAGACAATCTGTCTCTACTGTTGCTCCACCTGGGTCGCCCACTATGTGTTATGTTTGGACGTTCCCACCCGTCCCGCTTCCTCTGTGTTGAGTCTGTTCCTGTCCACACCCGTTTCCTCGTCTAGAGACAAGTCTTCCGACTCAGCATCTTCTCCACACATGAACTCTGGGTCTGAGATGGTGTTGTCAAATTCCGTTGCCTCCTCATTCGCCAGTGATGCTATCGTTTTTTTGCTTTTTGTGGCGTTCCCGCCATGTTCCAACATGCTCAGAGTCTCAACTCCCCCACCCAGTGCCCCACTCCCTCCGCGCCCACGTCCGGGTGCGCGATTTGCTCTGTCTCCTTGTTGAGCCCGCCCCACACCTGACAGCTCTCTCGTCGTGTCACCTAGACCTCCTCGTCCCGACGGCAGCCACGGTCTCCGGCCTCCACGGGGCGGTTTCCAAGTTATCACGGCACGGCGTATTGTGTGGCGGGTGTTGTGCGCTACGTAGTATGTGGTGTTAGGCGCTACCTCTACCTGAGCCCTTGGCTCTTCGTGCTGCTGCTCGTGTAGCCGTGATGCTCCCCCACGTCAAGCAGCACGTAATGCACGTGGGGACGTGCTTGACGCTACTATCATGTGTTCTTGACCAGCTCCACGTATGCCTAGTGAGTCAGGGTATTAAGGTCGGGGAGATGCTACAGTCGAGCAGGCGGCGGCAGTTTCTGCGGCAACAAAGATGCTGGCCTTCGTATAGGTAGTGTTTCTTCTCCGAAGCTTTCCTGGCAGCCCACCCGGGCAGTTTTCGCACCCTTGGGTCTTGTTTCTGGAGCACCGGATCTGTCACTATTACATACGTGACCCAAGTCTCCGCTGATTCCTTGTTCTGGAATGCTAGGTCTGTCCGTTTGCGATGGACAGGGGGGGAAAACACCGATGTCTCATGGAAGGTATTGAAGCCCGCCTCCCTCGCCAATCTCAGGGCCGTTTAGACCAAGGCGTTGTATGTCCTCACCACATCCCCCCCCTCACCACAATGGAGCGATGATTAGCCAGACTGGTCCCCGCGATTTCCGAATTGTCGCGCTTACAGGGGCACTTGACTGTGACAGGTAGGGCCATTCCGAAGCGGAAGCCGAGGGCTAACGAGAACTGACCAAGGGCAAATGTAAGGTCAGATCTCGTCGGCACTGTGTGTAGCCACCACCCCCTTCAAACTGACTAGCCGGACCCCGTGCCCCTGGTCCTCCCCCGGTTTGTCAACCAAAGTGCCAGCTAGCAGCTCCCTGGCCCGTGCTACGTTGATGTGTTTTGTCAGAAGCAGCTGCAGGTTACCCTGCCCCTGAGGGCCCAAATCTGTAGGCCTGCAGTGCCGTCCGTGCTTCTGCCGGCAGTCCCTCCTCCAGGGTCACCAGCACGTTTTACTGGGGGGGCGGAGGTACCCACTATCTGGACAACAGTGTTACTGCCTAGCAGCTCCTGCTCCCGCAAGTTCATCTGCTGCAACAGGTGATGCACTGCCGTCAAGGACGCGATATACGCCGCTGGGGCCTCGAAGATGGGATCGATGATGCTCAGCCCTCCGAGGCGTACGGGCAGAGTTGCTTGTCGCCACAGGAGGCTCTGTTCCAGTTCACTAGCGGGGATCCTCAGCTTGGCTGCCCTAAGCGCCGCACCTAG